ATATTTACAACGTCTGTTAATAATGACGTTCCTTACTCTACGTGTACATTGGGTCTGGAGGCATTAACAAGTATTATGAGGCCAACAGGATTAATGAGACTTAAAACTTACATGTCCAGTGTGTGGAGACAAGCCACTGTAATTTTTCCAGTGCTGGAAGTCATGCAACACTCACTTTCGTAATTTACATAATTTCATTAAGGGGTGATAAATATTCGGCTTGAAGTTCTTAATTAAAAGCCAAAGACGGAAAGCCGTAAAGCAGTGTAGAATCACTATGTCCTGCCGAAGTGGAAAGGACTGAAGTGATACAGAGAATTCTGCGACGTGGCAGCAGTATAATCCGTATTTCCACCAGCGAGGGCTGTGGGAAAACGGCCACTTTGAAGAAACGAGCAAAAAGTACTGTCAGAGTACGGGAGGCTTGGATGAAAGTCCAGGTGTTTCTATCAGAGCCCAGTTGATGCTATAATACTTGCATTTGCTTTAATCAGGACATACACAAATGCTATTTTTTTTGTTGTTGAGCAAATAGTAAAACCACTTCATGCTCATCAAGCACTTGCTGTGCACTGGGCAACGGTGTAGGTTTAGAATCGGTACCTGTCACTCACTCCTAACCCAACGTGGTGAGTACTATCACCACCCCCACGTTTTCAGGTGGAGGAACTAAGGCACAGGGCAGTTAGACATCTTCCTCAAGGTCATCAGCCAGGAGGCGGCCGGATTAGAAGAATCAGGCAGTTTGGCTTCAGGGTTCCCCCTTGGAACACTCTGGCTGCTTCTTAAACTTTATTTGTATTTTATGGGAAAGACAAGTTTGAAAAATCCGGGAAAACGTAATACTGATGGATTGGCTGCTTTGACTGGAGTAATGAAATACTTCCAGATAACATTTGATGCTGGAAATCATAAGTGCATGGATTGCCACAAAATGTCTCCAACCAAGTAGATATTTTGATAAGACTCAGGAACATTTAAATATGATAGATTGCTTGCAATATTTTAAAATAAGATTGGGAGTGACCAAGGAAACATTTTGTACCTCACAGAGAGATTCGTCTTGTGACAAAGTGTTTAGAGTTGTTGAACTTAATGATGTTATACTGTTTTTTGTTTTGTTTGTTAAGCTAAAAACATCTCCAATTTGCTTTTTCTAAGAAACTCATGCTATGGAGAACCTTGAAAACCAAGATTTGGAAAGATTTCCATTAGTAGATAATTCTACTGTCAACAGGGACCTGAAAGACCTATTTGTATACTTAAACTTGGAAATAGAATTGGTAGATAGGATTGGATTATTTTATTTTATTTTCAGGTACTGGGAGTTGAACCCAGGACCTCATGCATGCTAAGCATGTGCTCTACCACTGAGTTATCACCACCCCAGGATTGGAATTTGAGTTTTGTGCTGTTAACAGGCACAGTCAAGAATGACTTCTCCCACTTCCAGCCTGCTTTTGCGAGGCGTCTCTTCTGGCTTTGAAAAAAAAAAACCAGGTTTATTGAGGTGTAATTGACATACAATAAACTGCACATATTAGAGGTGGACAATCTGATAAGTTTGACATACGTCAGACTTATACACCCCTGAAACCACCCCATAGTCAAGAACTCTTCGAGCTTTGATAGCCATGAAATACAGAATACGACAAAGAAACAAATGGGCCTTAGAACCAGACTTCCTAGTGGCTCCGTTTTGCGGGCTAGAACACGCAAAAGCAATTAAGGTATGGGGAAGTGTAACTCCACTCCTGAAGCTCAGGCGGGTGACAGGGGCATCCTTCCAGAGAGGGAGGACAGAGGAGAGAGACTTCACAGGGGGGAAACCGAGACACCTCAGCCAGCGTGTCAAGGCCAGGGTGAGCGGGAATACGGCGCGGCGGTGCGCGCCCGGACGTGGGCTGATGGGCGTGGCACCCGGCTGCAGTCTTCCTCCCCAGTAACACACAACCCCAGGGGCTTTTGCGAGAAAAACATCCAACCAGCCCCGCAGAGGGGGCATCCTACAGGAGGCCTGACCAGCACTCCTCAAAACTTTCAAAATCATCAAAAACAAGGAAATTCTGAGAAACTGCCTCAGTCGAGAGGAGCTTAAAGAGACAACTAAATATGTGATATCCTGGGACAGGAAAATGTCATCTGCAAAAACTAATGAAATCTGAATAAATTTTACTGGGCCCAAAAGGCTTTGTACCCTTATGAAATAAAATTTGGGGAAAAAAATTCCATCTTTTTGATGCTTTCAGAGTTACTATCTATGATAATCTATGTACATAATTTTAAAGTAACTCTCTGTGGGGGACACATATGAGAAAGCTTTTATTGATGGATGTTACTGCTCTCAGGAAAAAGAGACACGGACTCCATCCAGCCTTTTAAGTTCCGTCAGACGTGGGTCAACTTGGCCAGAGAGCTCTTCAAGATTCCTCAAGAAATCATGCCCCATGCTTTTCAAGGATTCTAGAAAAATATTTTTTCATTGGTTAGGTCTCTTGTGCCCCTTCCCTGGACGCCTGGGCCACCCGCACCTGCAATTGTCAAGGCCTCTAGACCTCATGCACACAGAGGACAGGGCAGACACCGTGTCCCCTTGTTCACGCTGGGTGACAAGGCAAGGTGCTGGTTCTCCATCTTACAAGGACCACTTCACCCTTTGTCCCAGAAAAGAGCTTACTGCACGCTCTACGCTTTGGCTGCGTGCTGAGTAGCATATGAGCTGGTGGCTGTGCCACCTGTGAAATGAGGGGGACGCCACAGGGCCTTCCGGCTCCTTCCTGCCACTTTGCCTGTCCCACCACTTCTAACGAGTAGTGTAAGACAGTGTGCTCCTTTCGAGGGGACCCCGGGACCTCCTCAAATCTTAGTGACTCATTGCATCCCAATCTGTCTCCTAAATCACAGCCATAGAAACCAGAGATTTCCAGGGCACCTGGCTCAGACCTCAGCTGACAGGTTCCGGTTTGTAACTGAGAGCAGACGGGGAAGTAGGAGGGCCTGGCACCAAAGTCCACTGGGAGCTGTCGGCACCTGAGGTGCCAGCAAGATGGGCAGGGCCACATTCCCCAGAGGGCAAGGCTGAGTCACCGACCAGAAACCAGGAGAGGGCAGGTTTCTCTCAGGACCTGGTGAGGGGACGGTGCCACCAGGGAGCAGAGAGGAGCTGGTCCAGGGGGAGCCGGCCGGGCAGTCCCGGTCTCACATGCATCTCCATGGGCGTTTCCTTTCGGAATTAAAAACCTTGCATCTCCACAGAGTTTCTATCCATCTAGATACACAGAGCTCTCCGTCAATCCAGGAGGAGGGTGCTACGTGAACCCAGCTGCCAGGACGCTCCAATCTACCTCAGCACCCTCCGCACTGACCCCATTCAGGGAATGAGTTGTACTTAAAAGAACCCACTGCTATGTCACCAGCCCACCGTCGACAGCAGCGTGGGTAGCAGACACCAGCCCTGAGCTGGCCTGTGGGATGGGTCCTGATTGGCAAGCACCAGCTTGTGCGTTGACTCCCAGGGCCTACTGTCTTCCAGGACTGACGGACACTGGACAAGGGGACAACAGTGACAGCCGGGCTTGGATCTCTGTTTCATCCCTCCCTAGTCGGAGGACCTCAGCTTGCTATAAAATAAAAACTGTGCTATAAAATGAAGACAATTAATTGAGGCACTGCACGCAGAGCAGCTGGCAGCTGGCAGACACTCACGTGAGGCTGGTCTGTTAGAATTGGAACCGAATCATGAGTGTAGATCCCCACTTTGACCTGGTATTACAGAGGGTCAGGTGAAAACACTCTTCAGGGCACTCTGGCAGAAACTGAGTTCAAAAAATAAAGTCTCGTCTTTTTCACGACCTTCCTGGCAGCAGGTTGTGAGGTCAGCGCGGGAGGGAGGGGCAGGTGGGGGAGTGTGATCGCTGAGAACCAGCTCGTCCAACTGGTTTGTCCCAAGGTGCTTTCTGGCCAGAGGCTCGTAAAATGCACTCCCTAATCCAGTATCGTATACACCGCACACGCACACAGGTGTACTTTTATACCCAGATACGCGTGTGTACACCATGGAATCTTAACTGCACCAAATATGTAGACTGGCGTTTCACTCAACTACGGTGAGGACTCTGACCTGAGCCCCTGAACTGACTCATACAGTAGCTGGACGTTAAGAAGACTTGGGTCACCAGTGAAAACCACCCCAGGCACAAAGTGCTGAAAGCAGGTGTGGGGTAAACAAACCGCCTCCAGTGAGAACAGTGCCTCCTAGTGGCAGGTTATTTGAAAAACTCAGAAACTGCAAAGCTTCCTGACAATTCAGCCACAGGCTCCACTCAGTTTCCAGGATCAAGGAAAGTCTCATATTAATAAACATTAATTACATTTTGCTGCACCGAACTCTTGACTTTTTTATATTATTCCTTTTAGCTAATCATGTATTTTATTCCTACATTTGGTCAAATGAATGATCCCTACACATTTACAGGAATTTATAGGATATCAATAGCTCAAAAGGAAACAGGTCACATAGAAGAAATCCTTAAAAATCCTGATGCAGAAACTCAGGTGGATTTGTCATCACAAAAAGAAGAAATTTTACAAGAAATATTAAGATAAAGCAAGCTGCTCTAATGAATTTTAAAAAATACAAAGCAATCGCCCAGATTATAGACTAAAACTAAAGAAAAAGGAGCAATCAGGGAGGTCCAAAGTTTAATCAGAATTTTAGGAACCGTAAAATACAGTGGAGGAAATCATTAAAGAAACAATAAAAGACTATTCCTCTGAGATCAATGAAAGGCACCAGCCTTGAGGCTGAAGGCACTTTCCTCCTTCTATCTTAAAGTAAAAGCAGAATTCAAACCCAGGAGTCCAGCCTGCTTGAGTGGACCAGCTCCCGCCCCTGCCACAGCCGGTCACCCCCAGGTCAGGAAGCTGCCCGCCGTCCCGGGGCAGGAGGGTTAAAGTCATCGCCACGATTAACTCTAGGCCAATAAAACAAGGAGTCTTGGTGAAGTTAAAGTATTTATTGATGTGTTTAAACTGTACATTCTCCACAGATCAGATTAAGGAGTTTGTGGGTGAAGTTTCTCTGTGCATAGTGGGAAGAGACATGGACAGGGTAGAGGGGAGGAAGAAAAAAGACTGCCACAGGGAAATAGAAAAAAATACACCACAGGTTACCAGAACCTTCAGAATTTAAAAAAAAAAAAAAGAGGAAAAGCAGCAGCTGTGAGCATCGACATCAACTACACAAGCATCACAAAGACTCAAGTGGAGAAAACAAAACCTTCAGAGCTTTCCACGGGGTCTACAGATCACTGCATGTGCAACCCAGAACACCCACCTTCCAGGGGGAGGCAATCCCCCACGTTCTCCCCGGGCCGCCGGCCGCCTCCTACCGCATCGCCTCGGAGGACCACGGGGGGCTCGGGGTCAATGCCTTTGTGGGGGCGAAATGCCCTGCGAGGGAGGGGGCACCCCAGGACACGACTCGGGAGGGGAGTGAGCAGTGGGAAGCCACGGTGAGTCAACGGCAGACAGTGGCAGAAAATCACGTACAAACTACAGGCTACTTTCTGTGGGAGAACTGGGTTCAGGAGGAAGGCGGCAGGGGCCCTAACCTGCACACACCAGGCTGGCCGAAGGACGCTGGAACTCAAATGCTTGCCTTTGGCGCCTCCGTGGTGACAGGCCTTGTGCGGAGACACCAAGGTACCCGGCGGTGGGAGCACCGGACTTTCAAGGAACTGGCCCTTCACAGTGGCTCTGAGAGGGGTCCCGATGTACTTCAGTTACGGCTCCTAGCTCAGCTGGTTTCTCAGCAACTTTCTGAAAGCTCATTTAAAAGGGAATACTGCCTCTTCTTCTTTTTTTTTTAATAAAAACCAGGACAGGACAGTGAGCCTTAAAGAGCTGGTTTACACAATGCAGCTGGAACAAACGGCCTGCATACAGCATGTACAGTCTATCGCTGAGAATCAACATTTACCGTTTCTATAGCGAGTACGTGTGAGACAATACAATGGAAGTGGGATTCCTGATTAATTTAAAAATAAAAAAGGAAAACTACATCAGTCAAATATCTGCAATAGATCATTTTTTCACTTCATTTAAGGTTTATGTATCATATACTTATATTAACATTTGTTCACCCATTTGAAAGCATGGAACTCGTGATTCTACAGCAGCGCTTTACAGTCTCAGTGACCCAGGAGGTCCGAGTGAAGATGAAACCCTCTGGGAGTAACTGCTGCTCAGTAGTCGATCCAGGCGCCTGGAGCCCCGCCGCCCGCCGCGCCCCCACTCCAGCCGGGCGCAGCGCTCCTGCCGCTTAAATCTGCATCTGCTCCAGGTACTTGTAGGTTGGGTTTTCGTAACCATGGTTCTGCATCTTGTTCAGGTGACGCTCTTCTGGGGTGAGCATTGGGTCGACCTGGAAGAACAGAGATGGGGGTGGGGTGGGGGCGGGGTCACTGCATGACCCTAGGAGGACTTCCCAGGGCGTCAGGAGACCTGAGCTGCACGTGTGATTCCCCGGGGACCAAAGTCAGCCCAGAGCCCTGTTTCCACCAGGCGAACCAAACAAGAGCTGGTGAGGACCCCGGAGGAGGAGAGAGGAAAGAAGAGGGTCAGAGAGGCCAGGCTTCTGAAAGCTGGAGTCCTAAACGCCTGCTCCGAGTTGGATAGAACGGTGAGCTGAGTCTCTCAGCATCACAGTGACAGCAAGGCTCAGCTCTGCTGCTCTGGTGCGGGGCGGCCTCAGTGAGCCACGCCTGTAACCTAAGGAGTGGTGCCAGACAACCAACCCCCCGGGGCTCCTCCAGCCTGGAATTCTGTAATGAGGTCAGCGTCCAGCAGGAGGTGAAACCTCGTAACTTAAGACACAGGCATCTGAACTAGTTTCCACAGCATACACTTTCCCTCCTCTCGAATCCAGACTCTCTGGGCGTTCCCACCACCCACCAACACAAGCGTAATAAAGCAGCTCTAATTACAAGTGCGCAGACAATGGAACAGAAACAGTCTGCTTTGCCTCTTTCTGAACTTCCTGTCGCTTTTTTCCCCACCAAAAAAGAAGAATATTATTCCTACTTCATATTTTAAAGACGCGGTTCACCCATGTGGCCATTGCTGCCTGAGCCGTCAAACACCTGCTTTGTTCCTTATAAAACAGATTAAAAACATTAAACTAACAATAAATAAACAGTATCAGCAGTCCTTCATTCGCAAACATCTAACACACCTGGAAAACGAAACGCTAAGGAAACACTCAGAACAGGTTTCACCCTCTGCAGCCCTTGCGACTTCCTCACACTCACAAAGCCCACATCAACGCGCCAAGTTGGCTGTGGCCCCCGGTCGAGGATCACCATCCTTCCGCGGGGCTCACTTCCAACAAGTGGCCTAATGACCCGGCGAGGATGCGAGGTCCCCAGCGAGACGTCTGAATCCTGAGAGCTGCTGGCGGCTCAGGGCAGAGCTCGCGCTGAGGGGCGCCCAGCGCTCACCTCCACGATGCCGTGGCTGATGGAGCCGTACTGCCGCTTCCTCAGCATCACCAGGCTGACGACGATGACCGTGGCGATGGCCACTGCGATGACCAGCAGGCCGATGAGGGCGCTGCTGCTCAGACCAAAGTCCTCCCGCAGCGGCCCCAGGGACTCCTGAAATGGAGCAGGTGGAGGTGAGAGAGACGGGCTGGGGAAGCCGTGAGCCCTCCATCGGGTCTCCCTCGCGGCCCGGTGACCGCCCAGATGCGCAGAGCCCTCCCTTCCCAATCTCCACGGAGATTCTAGTTTGAGCTTTCTTGTCCAGAAGTATGGAAAATGGGGTGATGAGGGACGTTTAGTAACTAAAGAGAGAAGGCACTGCTCCCAGTTTCCGCCTGAGCTGAGAAGACGGGACAGAACAGAACAGACTGATGTGGGACCTGAAAGCAGGTTCCAGACACAAACACATACCGGCTCCTCCTCGAGGCCCCCGACCCTCTCAGCATTGAAAATCATCTCCTTCACATCCAGGGTCTCGTCAATGACCTGAAACAGCAGGGAAATGTCACCAACTGGGTGGGGGGGGGACACTGAGCAGAAACATAACTGCTTCTCTTCTGCTGTTTACCCTTTGGTGGAGGGAAGCAGACACCTGATGGACACCCACTGACCCGTCAGTCCTGCCGCATTCACCAAAGTCCCCTCGCTGAACCCCTAAATGAAGGAGCAAGTGTGGGTGCCAGATAACTGCACAGCAGCTGCTCTTCCAAGGGCTGTCACCTGCATTTTCCCTTGGGTAACTGTCGTTGGGGTGTTTCAGGACAGATCACCAAGAAGCCCTGATTAAATACCAAACCCAGTTAAGGACGATCCAGAAGTGTAAGCGACAAAAATGCTACAGGAATCATTAACAGGAGGTATAAACCTCAGGCAGTGTGAGAACCAAGTCCAAGTCCATTCCTTTTTCAGTTATTAAATCTCTACTCACTTGACATGGCCTCTCATATTTTATTCATACCTTTAGGTGCAAATATATTTTCCAGCGCAGAGCAAGAGATGGGCTGCTGCTGAAAAATAATTCTCTGTTCCTTCTCACGCCCAGATGCTAAACGACACAGCACGTTTGTGGGAGTGTCGGAGCCCACCCGTCTGTAAGGCAGCTAGAACAAGGCCACTCGCTCCAGCTGTTCTCAAAGTTAACATGGCAGGGCAGCAGAGAGAGATGGCTCACCATGTTTTCATCCACTTTATTCTTACTGTTAATCACTTTCTCCTCGGCACCAATCAGTCCTCCGTCCTGCTCTCCCAGCGCAGACCCTGGGTGGAGAGAGCACAGCTGGGTTTCCCAGGATGGGCTGACCCCACGCCAACCTCACAGATGCGGGCCAGGGAGCCCTCACCGAACGCCTCCCCCCGCACTCGACAGGCTACTCGCACACGTTTCGAGGATGCAACTGTGCTCCCGAGGGATGAGCGACACGGGACCGATGGTATCGTGGAGGAGGAGAGAGTGCTCGCTGGTTTGCGTCCAACTTGGAAAATGGAACGCAAGCTTTCAGGAGAGACGCTTTTTGTAAGAGACATAGAAGCTGAATCCAAAGGCATGCCAGCCCGGGTGAACACGTAACCCCTGTGGCTGTTACTAAGCACCTACCACCCCTCAACCTGCCCCTTCAACAGCCGGGGCTCCCTCTGAACGGAAGCACGGCCACACCACACGGTTCGCCTTGAGCATCGTCTTTTATTCCACAGGCCACTCTTTCTGCCTGAAAGACCATCCCCAGCCTTAAACCCTTCCTTTTTGTCCTTCAAGCTGCAGATCCTCCAGGGACACATCCCAGGTTGCAGCACTTAAAGTCACCGTGATCCCTGATTTTCTCCTGCACCTCCCGCTAGGCCGTAACCCTCTCGGGGCCTAGATCACACATGGTCACCGCCTCGATGGTCATGAGAGAGGGAACAGGAAGGAAGCATTCCATACACAGTGAGAATTCCAACCCCAGGGTGGCAGGCACCCTGCCATGAACAGAGCAAGAACAGAAACACTGCTCTCGTCAAGGCCGGTATCACCTGAGCCCACGTCACCTGTGCTTGGCACTCCAAGGTACAACGCCCAGACGCAGCAGAAACCCAGGGAGAGGAGAAGTGAGGAACAATCCTTGTTATTTTTAGCTCCAGAGCACGTGGCTTCTAGCTCTCCCACGAGTTTCCTATTAATAATAATATATCTAGTCCTGTACAGACCCCTACGAGTCAATGAACCTTTTACAAACAGATCGATCTGACAGCATACTCGGCATTCTAAGGTGACCACCGGCAAGTGAGTAAGATTCCGGCAAGACAATGTGCATAGCATTGCTGTCCCCGAGAAGGGTGGTGACACGACACCCGGCAGAGCTGTCCAGCTCACAGCCAGACCCGCGCTGGACCCGAGTCACTGCGAACTGGGCTGCAGTCGCTGCACCTCCAGGTCAGCTCACGCTTAACTCGTGAGAAGGCAGCCAAAGACGACACAGCTTTGTTCCAAAGCTTTCATTTTAAGGAAGTTTCACAACTTGATTCCAGGGTAAAACCAGGGCTGGCTTTTGTAGTCTCAAAATATCAGTGAAACAGCAACACTGCATTTCAGCTATTTGAGAAAGAGGAATCTCTCTCAGTGGGAAGTTCATGACCGAGTCTAACAAATTCTAACTGTGCTCCTTCCCCCACCGCAGAGTTTACAGGTCACAAGGGCAGGATCCCATCTGAAAAATAATGTGGCACAGACCCAGCTAATTCAGTCCTACCACCAGTGCAGTCTGTCCCAAGGCTTGTTTGGTGCTACGACCCACGTGCTTCTTAAACACTGATCGAAACCACTTTGGTTTTACAGAACGCGTAAACAAGGAACTCAGGAGACCGAAAGTTAATGTTTAAACTATACCCACTAATCACAGTTAAACTGTAAGTGTGAAAGCCAGTTAAACTTTTAGAAAATTGTCTTTAAGCATATCCAAGATACGTTGTTCAGGGGAATGTCCACACAGTGACCCAGAGGCACATCCAAGGAGAATAAAACAAAGCAGGTACACGCGGGTGGTTCTGAAGAGTCAGCTGGTGCACACACACCACCGCCACCCCTCAGCCAGGGCCCAGCGCTGGCAGCACAAGCAGTCTGTGAACGTGGGACCTCGTTCGCGATGACCCCGGAGGCTGGGCCGCCCGTCCACCCGGGAGATGCTGCAGCCGACACCACGTTCTACCAAACAGAAACACTTCAGTCTTTGAAGACGGAGTTCAAACTGACTCCACCGCTTCTTAAACTCCTAACTTTAACTCAGAGCTTCTTCAAATGCCTCACCTAGAAAAGGGCTGAAACCCTACCCACACCTGTGCTCAGTGGGTTAAATGAGATGAAGAATGCAAGTGCTCAGCACATCTGGCCAACTTCATCTGAAACCTGGACTCGCTACACAGGAGTTCCCTTGCCTCAACCTGCTTCATCCATCAGCTTCTACTGAGTTTGGAGGAGCAGGGCTCCATCTCCAGGGACATGAGACAGCGGGCAAGAGACAGGTGGGCAGAGATGGAGGGAAGGGGCAGCTGAAAGGAAGGGGGAAGATGCAAAGTGGCAGCAGCAGAGGAAAAGGGGAGGGAAAATAAAACGACTCTCTGCCCCACGCTAAGCCTCTTTGTGTGTCTCCCGACAGTTCGCAACCAACCTGGTTAAACTGGACACATTTTTAAAAGTCTACCCAGGTTGAAAGGATTTATGAAAAATCGACTTTGGTTATCCTGTCTTCTCTGGACATCCAGAAGGACAGCTCAGCGTGGCCACCTGGTGAGCAGACCCACCGACGCTGGGAGCCGGGGCTGCCGTCCCTGCACCCACAGCCACGCCTGAAGGATGAGGTGGAAAAGCTCAGGAGATGGAATGAAACAGAATGTGAAACTTCCGGGGATGGGAAAGGAATGAAGGTCTTACAGGGAACATCTTTGACAACCAACCTTTTTTCATTGGGTGGAACAACTCCGGCTGGGTGTCTAGCGGGAAGGAAAACGACAGAAACAAACAGCATAAAAGAAGATTAAGGAAAAAAAAAGTTTCTCTCAAAATTCCTACCTTAGAATTTCTGTACAATGTGAACAAAAGCGCTCTCCCTTACAACCACGCCCGCGCCACACCCCGAAAGCACAAGGCGGGAAGATCTACAGCTAAGGGCTAGAGGGCAGGAGAGAGAAGCCGGTCGGTTTGGGTCTTTTGGGGGAACTTCTGTGAGATTCCAGAATTACTGAGCTTAGCCCCAAGTTACTTTTCTTAGAAAATAAGAAAACACAAGTTAGTACGGACTGTGGTTTTCTGAGAAGGAGAAAAGGGCCGAGTTCACAGACGTCCGAGACGCCCCCACCGACAGCCCGTGGAGGCAGGTCTGTGAGCGCGGGTGTAGGGTGCGGCGGCACCACTCTGTTCGCCCGGCTCCTTCCTCGGATCCCAGTTTAGTATCAGAGAGTCAAATGGGCTGAGCCGGTACCTCTGACATAACAGAATTAGGGGCATTTCTGTGACGGTCTGGAGGCTAACCCAGATGCCCCCTGCCTGGGCCTCTGCTGCAGAGCCACCGTACCTGGTCAGGGTGGCACTGGACCTAGGACAGTAGGACCGTGTCGGCTTGGGTTCAAATCCTTACCCTCTACCTACAAGCTACATGATGCCAGGCAGACACTTAACCCCTTGAAACCCTGGAATCCCCAAACGGGGCCAACACTCCCAGGCCCTACCTTAGAGGATTATTTTGAGGATAAAAATATAAATGAGAGCGTCCACGCACAGCGCTAGCCAAGGCTGGTTGTATGGTATGGGAAGCACTCTGTAGCTGTAGTCACTATTTTTATCACCAGCAGCAGCAGCAAATAAATAGAAATGATTCCACACCCTGATCTCGGTGCGCCAGAGTCGGCAGCTTGCTTTTTTCTGGCGCAGACCCACAGCTTTGAGAGGCGCCTTTAGACATCGAGAACCAGCAGGGGACAGAAGAGAGCAGCACGCCTCTTCTCACCGCTGGGGTCAGAGGGACAGCTTGTCACCAGCCTCAGACTCGAGCAAGTCACGTCGCCGCTGCAGCCTCCCCAAACCGCCAGGAAAAGACCACGGCCGCAGAGAACACGAAAGTGCTACCTAAGCGGCAGAGTGACCTCCACATGGAAGGAAAAGTGACTCCACACTGGAGGCAGCGGACAGGACCAGGAAAACTGGCAGGCTTTAAGCAACCCGTGTGCAACATGGCAGGCATTTTACTAACCTGCCGATGAGGCTGAAGGCCCCCACAGGCGCCCGCACGTAGCAGGTGCGCAGAGTGAACCTCGTCTCCCGTCCCTCCGTCCAACCTGCACCAGGAACATAGCCTCCCCAGCACAACCCTGGCCCCAAAATCTGACTTCAGTTTTCTAATTGCATTCTTCCTGCCAGGCCCCCAGTGCCAAGAAGGTGCGCTGTTTATCATACCCACCTTCATTCTCAGGTAAGGACGGGAAGGGATGGAGGGGATGGAATGGCGGGATCTCGTCACTCTCTTCCGAGCTCACCCGGACGTCCACGGGGGTCTCTGAGATGGAGGCGGTGAACTGGTCCATGTCTGCTCTCTGTTCCTGAAGCAGCTCATCTGACAAAGACAGATATGGCAGGAGCCCAGTTTTCAGAAGGGTCTGGCTTCTAGGCACGGGACCGACAGCCTGAACTGGGCTAGTTCGTGTCCTTATGGGTGGACCACGCGAGCTCCTACACTGTCCTCTTCTCCTTCCCTTCTACCCGAGGTGGCATCCCGACACTGTAGCACTGGGGACCCCAGGGCTCCGTCCTGGGTACTCCTCTACCAACACACTCTGGTCAAGTGGTCTCATCTGGTAGCACAGGTTTAAATACCATCCAAACACCCTGACTCCCAAACCTGCATCCTGCGCCTCCCGCCCCGACCTCCGCTCCTCCCACTGGTGGCCCACCTCACACCTCCGCTTAACGTCCAAGGGCAACTTCTGTCTTAACAAGTACAAAGAACACTCAACCTCAGTAAAATGCAGCACCACCACCCACTCAGCCGCCCAGGACGGAAACCTGGGTGTCATCCGAGGCCATCTTTGCCTCAGCCCCCTCCCCCATCCACCCGTCAGCGCCCCCTCTGACATACATCCTCCCGACCACCCACACCCCTGTCTCCCCCGATCCCCCCCCTCTGCGCACAACTGTCCTCTGTCTCCTGGATTTGTGCAATTGCTTCCTGGGTGGTTTTCAGTTTTAATCAACTGGCTACACGGCAGTCAAGAGATTTTTTAAAAATTCACATTCTTTTTAACAGCGTAATCCAGATCTAGTCACTTGCTAGTTTAAAACTATCCAACAGCTTTCTGTTATCCTAGAACGCAATACAAACTCCTTGATTTTGCTAATGTCGCTTCAGTCGGCCTCTGAGGTGACTATCACTTCCTGCGCTCAGGGCCCCTCTGTGTGGTCTCTGCGTGGACGGCTCCTCCGCATCGTTCGGATCTCAGGCTTCCCTCCTGGGGCAGCCTCTCCCCGTCCCACACAGACCCCACCCCACACCCGTTTTCCCATCTGTTCTCTCCTCCTATAGTGTGAGCTCCAGGAGGTCTGTCTACTGGAGCACATTTCCCTCTGGGACACACAGTAGACACGACAAACATTTGCTGAATAAATGAAGAAGAGAAAGACCAGAGAAGGGAGAGGAAGTGAGAACGTGTGCAAACACGTGCCCTGAAGCACATCAGCAGTTGAGGAGGAAAAGGTAACAGGAGACTTGCCCAGTCCCTTGGGACTTCACACCCTAGATTTTCCTTCCGGTAACCGGGTGAAGGTCAGTGAAACCCAAGGCTCTGCGGCTCCCAGCCAGGACCTGACCTTGAGTCCAGGAGCCCTGGCGCGCTAATGCCCGGCTTCACGGCCCTGCTCATCCGGTTTCCCTCTCCCACCGCCGCCGGCGAGCCTTAGACAGAAGTCCCGCCTGACCTCCCTGCAAACAGTGGACACTCACCAATTTCCTCTTGGATTTCTTGGGCCACGTAAGGTACTTTGTAGAGCAGAGAGAGGCTCTGGTTCCTCCTTTCTTCAATCACATGCAGATGTGTCATCACCTGTAAGCACAGGACGGGGGACACCTTGTCAGCGAGCAGCAGGGCCAGCCAGGACATCCACCTGCCTCTGCAAAGGGACACGTTCTCCACAGAGTCCAGCAGAGCCGCTGGTCAGAGGGACAGTACGAAACCCCTCGTATTTACTGACCACTCCAGTGCAAGAATGAGTGCAGTGCCTCTCGGGGACCTAAGGATTTATGCACAGAGAGTGCTCCCAGTTCAGGGAAAATGTCACAACTTTCACTGGCCAGTTATTGATCTGGTTCACATGAGGCACTTGCTAACTGTCCTGTAAAAGAAGAATCCAAATCTGTACCACGCCAGACACGCAAGCAGGTTTTTCCTGAGTGAAAGAAGAAAAGAGTTGGTCTTTTTTTTTTTTTAAAACCACTGGTCAGACTAGGTGAGGTGAGGAGAGTGATCTGGGGGCAGGGCTTTTGCTCAGTGAAGTAACGGCCTAAAGTGATCATCACAGTGAGCATCAGAACTAGTTTATTCCTGTTTAATTAAATCAGCCACTCTTTCAACACTGCTGAGGATAAATGAACCCGATTTTAAGGAGTGATAAAGGAAGATTTATCTACCATCCTGTCTGCCAAAGCTCACTGCCTTTTCTGACTGCAGAAGTTCCAAGGTTGGTTGTCCCAGAAAAAAAAAAAAGCCATTAAAAGTGGTCATTGACTTTTAAGCTTTCCAGGGTGGAACTGAGGGGCGCTCTGTGCGCAGTAAGGAAGTGGCTGCAGGTCACACAAGCTACTCAGGAAGGCCGCCCTGCCTGGTCACACCTGCAGCCACCGGCCCCTTTCTGAAGAGGGCGCACTGAGCCCACGGATTAATCATGTGGGCTCGAAGCCATTAACATGAAGGGTCGAAATGAAAAAAAAGTTCAAGGGAAAGATCCTTTCATTGTAGATGGATGTCTCGCTGACCTTTACAAGCGAGGATGAAAGCAATTTAGTTTTGCATTTGCCATTGTTTTAATCACGTAAAGTGATGGCAAAGCACCAGAGTGACTGCCTCAGAGAAAAAATGGAAATGCAATGGAAACCAAACCACGTACTCCCGAGACCCAGCACGTGCTGACCCGCCACACGTCAGGCGGATCACGGAGCCGGGAGAGGGCGGTCCCACACCCGGAGGACAAGCCCACCCGGCGGAGGGCCGGGCGCCAGGGTCCTCGGAGGGGCCCCGGGGCTGCCGCCCCACATCGCTCGTCCCCAGGTCGGACGCGCACACGTTGTAAGGGGCTGAGCACATCCAGGGTCTTCTACAACAGCACAGGGAACAGGCAAAAGGCTGATGTTACCCAGAAGCCGAGCTTCCCCAGAATTAAGGGCCTTGAACACCACACAGCAGAGATGTTCTAAGAAGCGCGGGTCCTGCCCCCCAGGTCACTCCAGTGGCACCTTGGCCCTGGCTCACATGTTAATTCAACACACTGATCGCACCTTCTACCTTCACCACACAAAACAGGCCTTTTCTATAAAATACTACACCACAGTGTAGATTTTCTACCAAAAAATTGAAGAAAATACTGCTTTTTTTTTTTTCAACTGGGTAGACCTAAACAAATCTAACAGGTCAGGATGCAGGCTTCACCCCGAAGCTTCCTGCAAGCTACTCCGGCAAGGTCTGCTGGCCCTTCCTCCTCCTCTCCTACTCCATCAGCTCAGAACAGAGCCTCAGCTCCAGGCCCCCAACAGAGCCCTGGGGGTCTGCAGATCCATGCCCCACCCCCCACACCCTTCACACTCTAGAGGGGCCTCAGTCCTTTCATTCTCCAAACACCCAGCTGCCTTTGTGGACTCTGTACGTTTAAGGATGATTCTTCATCTACAGTTAACGTAATTAATCCTACATGACTGTGCGCGGTCAGATGCCGGAGCAGAGCCGGGCAGCAGACAGGACGGGAGGACCTCAGCAGCACCCCTCCCAGGGGTCTCTGGTGGGTCCTCCCACGATCACACCGCGCGAGCAACAGCAGGCAGGAGGGGTTGTGGGTCCCTAGCCTGTGCACACCGGGTCCCCACAACCAGCTCAGCACTGCGTTAAAACAGGGTAGGAAACAGAGTAGGAGCAGTTACGTCGTCACACAGCTCTCTAGGAAAACTCGTAGGCCGAACTATTTCAAAGGAAGCCAGCAGTCTTGCGGGCAAGTTCACATTCTCTGAGTACAAGAGAGTAAAACAGGTTAATATGTGGACAATACAGAAACGAGAAAGTAGGTCCAGAAGCAAACCTCTGCAGACTGCAAAGGCCAGCTGGCCACAGCGTGGGACAAACCAGGGACGTCAAAGTCTCTAAACAAAAACTGTACAAAACGAAAGAGACCAGTTTTTAAGATGTGCTTGATCAATCCACCTAGAAAGAGATTTCAAATACAAATTCTGGCGGTACCCTCCCTTAATCAGAAATAAACTGATACAGAAATGACTCAGAAACTGACTTACCTCTCCAATAGGATGCATTCCTGGACTTACAGAAACGGTGTAAGTAGAATGTATTTAACGTTAAAAAGTATGGAAAAGACATTTTTATAACAGTACCTTTGCAAAAACCAACTCTTGTACCTAGTATCTTTGGAAATCAAAACTCTTAGTTTCTAAGAACAAACAACAAGAAACACCACTGCCAGTGCTGTCCAGCCATCAGTCACAGCAGTCCCTTCCCACCAGACACGCTCTCCCGCGGCAGTTCCTGCGCTGCCCGGTGTACCTGGGACTTCATCTGGGCTGCCTTTTCTGGGTCAACAGCCAGCACGTGCTGGTAATGACGGATGGTGTGCAGACGGTCTTTGTTCTCAGCACGCACGTAGCGCCGCAAGGCTTGAAGGATGCGATGAGGCTGTAAGAGAAAACAGTTTTCATGTCCTGAGACTAGAGAACTGAAAAGAGGCGGGAAAACAAAGCTTAAAAACTCACTTAAGAACGGAAACCTCAGTGAGGCACGAGAATGAACGCTGTACCTTTAAGAGCGTCTAGTTACCAAATACAGAAACGTCCTTTCTATGTGAAGTGCCAAAAGCCCACAGTTACACTGGCTCCTTAACCCCACATTTCAGAATCTCCAGCCCACTGTCTTCCTCCAGTCTGTCCTCTTTTGTGAGCTCAGCATCTGACACCTTAATTACAAGCCAGGCCGTCCCCGTGTCATCCAGAAAAGACTTCACCTGCCGAAGGTAAAGGTACAAACATCCTCCTTTTCAATACTTTCCATCCCCCCAAAGCAAGGCAAGTTAGAGTTAAGGGATAAAGCAGGGCACCACTAGCAGAAAAGGGCTTCAATATAAATTTACTCATAATCTTAGATTCAAAAGCCTCTGCCCACGGAAGGCGTGCTTTTTTATTCTTTGGAAGTGAGGTTACTATAAAAGTTCACCACTTGGGGAACTGCCAACCGACAGCCCGAGGTTCTGCTTTCTCAGCGTAAGCCGCGTCCACACAACAGGCGGCAGGGGGGCCTCAGGTGTGATGTGAGCTTACCTGGCAGACACTGGAACATAATAATCCATTTCACACGTGCGCACACACACACGCACGCGCACCCTCTTCCAGGCAGGCACACGAGGGATGTGATTTGCCCGCAGCTCGGAGCCGCGCACACCCGCCACTGGAGGGCCCGACCACGCACTCACCCGCGGAGGGTCGGACTGCAGGGCTGCCAGGTAGTTCTCCAGCGCCACCCGGCGGCGGTCGTTCAGCATGGCCTCCACCCGCGCCAGGTGGGTCTCCACCAGCTGCTGCTTCTCGCTGGCTGCTTCCTTCTCCAGAGCTTTCACCATGGCTTGGAAGTGCTAACCAAGAAAGCAGGAACCACATGTAACTCATGACACCAGCACGCGTCTGCGCCAATGACATGAGACCCACTGACGCACTTCTCCTGGCCCAGCGCCCCTGCACCAGCAGCAGACCCGCGTGGGGCAAGGCTGAGGTCCAAGTCCATCCGGCCAACTTGTCAGCACAGTCACAGGGGCGCCTACCCTCCCCACAGTCGAAAATAAGTGTAACTGACTTATGTCGACCGCCCGTGTACGTGGTTCTGCACCCGCAGACTCAACCAGCCATGGACCGTGTGGGACTCATGCAGTACTCACAGGTACTTCCTCATCTCACGCAGGCATGCAAATCTGGGCGTCAGAAGGGCTGAAATTCCCTGCACAGGAGCCTGGGCCCGGCGCCCGGAGAAGAGGAAGGCTGCCCTTCCCACATCACAGCCCGGCACCAACGTCCAAACCCCAAAACCACAGACAGGCTTTGACACACATTTCAGTCCTGGGGTAAGTGACACGAGCCACTCACACCAAGTCTACAGGGCAAGCTCCCTGCGAGGTGCTGGCCAGGTCTGAAGGCAGAGCTCGAGGCTGCCCAACTAAACTGGCTACATGGAAATGAAACGTTTGTGAACTTTCTAGGTTATCAGGGGAAAAAAAAGATGAAAGGTGATCCAACAAAGTATCAACATCACGAGAAGAGGGATCTCAGTCCAACACGAACTGATTTCAGAAGCAGCCAGTTTCATGAATCCCAGATCATCCTGTGAATTCCTACCACGCCCCCTAGTCCAGGGGGCGGCGGCTGCCCCGATTCCGAGCTCACACTCCAAACTGCTATGGGGGAGCTTAATGTTCTGCCTTTTGACTTTGCAGTAAATCTGCAAAAACAAGAACTCAGCACTGCTGAGAAACAAGGCACAGCCTAAGAAGGCAGATGACTGAGGACTTTTGTCAGGAAAACAGAACAAACACAGCCGAGCTAAGGACTCCCCCAGCACGAATGAGGTGTGCTCGGGTCCGGGCTCCGGTCCCTGCCACTGCAGGTGAGCAATTCTAGAGCAACCCCAGCTGGCAGGTGAATAAAAAAGCAGGCCAGTGAAAACTTCCTTATAACGTAAGCCCTCAGCTAAAAGGGGGTGTCAAGACTCTAACTTGCGGGGCGTCTGGCTCCGACCGTATTTCAAAGGGTCCGCCTGGGAGCCTGTCCCTGGAGGACATGTCTCACCTGAATGAGAGTCTGCCTCTCTGCTTTGGGGAGGTTCTTGGCTTGAAGTTCAGCCTCTTCCCATTCCTTCTTCACCTAGACCAAAGGTCAAAGCAGTTATAAGCAGAATCATCTCTGAAACAACTCCCCCAGATCTAAAAACACTGGCAGGTGCTGGACGTGATGTGGGAAAGTGCAGAAGGAAACGGCCCCTTCACCCCCGCTATGGTGCCCCAGGCCACGCCTGCCTCGGTCATGACCTTGGGCAGCCCAGCCCTTCTGAGCAAGTGCAGCACAAAGTGGGACCCTGGTGCTGGTGCTGCTCTAACACTTGTAACTCCTTTCATTAAAAGAAAGCATCCCTGAGATGCAGGACCTTCAGCAGGTAACAGGATCTAGCCAGAACGTATTAACACGATTTGCTTGCACCATTTTTATAGTTACCTGTTCTAATGACAAATGATACTGGCTTTCCACTCATAATATTGATATAAAGTGTCCCACTTAAAAATAAAAAAAATTTAAGCAGTTGGTTAATGGCAAAGAAAAATGACAAGAACGTAATGTTTACAGGAAGCGCTGGGCAGTCTGGAGCAGATAAGCACTCGAGGGTAATTCCATTATCACGGAGATGGGCGGGTGGGTGAGGACAGTCCCGGCCAGAAGGCAGCCGGACTTATCCTCTCCCCGCACCTGTCCTGACACAGCCAGCTCGACCACCCGGGGCGGGGAGGGTTGGGGGGTGTCCCTAGCCGGACTCCGCGAAGGCAGGGGCGCCCGGCTCACCCTGTCCATGCGGTTGCGGTGCCGGATCTCCAGCTGCTCCTTGGCCTTCTGGAAGCGCGCATGCTCGTTGTCATCAGCCGAGGTCTCGAAATACACATCGACGTCGTTGGTTGGCAGGGGAGTTGGGGGAACTGAAATGAAAACACAAGACAGTTCTCTCTGGGGGTCGGGAACGACGCTGTGGCCACACTGGGCCCCCGGGAGGAAGCCCAGCCCGGCCTGCAGGATGGACTACTGTGTCCGGCACCCAGCTCGAGGGCAGGGTGCGCCTGTCTGCCGGGACCCACTCCACCAGCCCCCCAGCGGGCCGTCCTCCTCACCTAACCTCGGCCACCGGGCCCGGCCAGCCCCCTGCCTCCGTCAGCACCAGTGAGGCGGCTACACGGGCCTTCGGGGCAGAAGAGACAACCACCTCTTCCACACCTTCCCTCAGTTCTTAATCCTTAACACCTAGAAAATCACTATTGTGCTGCTGTCACTGAGCCCGTCTGGCCAGAGACACATGCTCAGGTCTCCTCCTCGTTGTTGCTGTTTTTAGGCCACAACTCACCTCGGGGAGCTGATCCAGCTGAGAGTTCCCTGCACACAGACTGGAAAGAGGAAGCCAAGCCCCTCAGCCACAGCTGGTCGGTTCTCAGCTCCACCGGAGGGCCCCTACCCCTCCCCCAACGGCAGGGACAGCATGTGTGACAAGGGCTTCTCACAAGTGTGAAGAGACTCTGGGCTTTTCAACTCAAGACACTCACTGGCCTTCCAGGCCGCCAGCCAGGGAACAAACCCATCAGAACCGACACCCCGCACTGTGGTCCAGCCTAAGTTCCTACTGGCCCCAGGCAGGCAACTCTCTCCGCACAAAGGAGCTTAACCTGCTCCAGGAAGGACGGGGATGACAAGGGTACTTCGTCACCCCCTTGGAAACCCTTATTACCCCAATTCACTCGGCATTTCCCAAGCCAGGGAGGAGTGACAGGTAACCTGCTTGCACAACTTGCTCTATCGGGACCCAATGTTAGAGCAAAGTGGAGAGCAAACGCCAGATTCAACAAATTCTAATTCAGAAACAAATTCACCCAATTCCCAGAATTGCATAACTTTGACACATGAGAACAACCGTGTAACTGATGAATGTAACCACGAGTCAGCCAGCCACTCCGCAGCCGTCCCGTCAGAGCACCTTCCACTCTCCTTTCATTTAGTTTTAGTTTTAAACCTAAAAGCTACAGCTAAAGTCTTGTCAAGAATATTTGGCCCCTACATGAAGTTTAAATAGGATCTCAATAGTCAATTTTCAGATTAGCTGAATCAGAATATACGGCTTCACAAACCACATTCCCCCTGATACTCAGAAGTTCAGCTGGAAGCATTTCAAAGCACGTAAGTCCATCCGTGCCAACGATCACGTCGCCACCAGCAACGCACGTCTGCAGCTTAAAGGCTTATGGGCTGGAAAGAGTCTTTGGTTCGTATCCCCGGGCCAGATAAAGATAATACAGATGCAAGCTGCCTCCACCCCACTGGGAGCAAAAGGGCAAAGGGGCAGCAGGCCTGGAGGTCTGGTTCTGAAGCCATGATGGGCTCGGACCTGGAACCGCATTCCTCTGTGTGCCAACGACCGGCTCACGAAGCCGGCACGTTCACAGGCCTCAGTCCCCTTCAAAGAGGGACACAAACTTGACCCCTGGAACAGTGATGCTTCTAGGTTCCAAAGCACTCCCGCCACAGGCCCCACAAGTGCATGGACACACTGCTTCTCCGTGGCAGATCTGCCTCGCATAGTAACAGGGAACTACTATTTCGCCAACTTCAAAACCATCCGTGCTCTAAAATCTACCGTTCTGTAGTGTCTCCCAGCACCATCTAGCTGGTCCTCTGGGTAAAAGACTGCCACCCCAACACCGGGCGAGGTCTTCAATGACCCTCATTCCTCAGGCTTTGACCCCAAACAACGTTTTGTTACTCCTATGTTTAGACAGTTTTACAAAGTAGGAAACATCACAGTAAGTTTTGTCTTTCCTGAGTAAAAACTCTGCTGTCACCTAAAGGCTCATAATTTTTTTCACTTTTCAATCATTTCAAATAAAAGTCATCTTTCCACAGAGCAGGAGCTGGAGTGGAAGCACTGAAAGTAAACTGTGCCACAGTAAGACTTTTTAAAAATTCTGGATGGGGGAAAAGAAAGAGGGAACATAAAGGTATTTGAATGAAAAACTGTCAGAAGCTACAGCCAGAAGCCTTTCGAGCAAACACCAGGAAACAGGCAGCAGTTCATTATTCTAATGAATTCCAGAATCAGAAGGAAGAAGGGAGCCTCGCCAGAGGGTTTCCCACATCCGGGTCAGGGCTGCGCCGTATGGAAAGGAGGGTCTTACACAGGAATACGAGTAACCGTGCAGAAAAGCAACCTGCTGATGTCTGAGCAAACCGACTCAACTGAGCATGGAATTTCCTTTGTGAACAAAGAAGCCATAAACGCAAACTCCTTTGCTCCCTAAAGCTCTCGTGATCCAGCCCTGCCAAGGCGCTGGAGAAACGGAGTCACCACCTCTTGGCTGCAGAAGGCTCTCCATGGAGTGCGTGAAGCAGGACACTCCAACATCCCGGGCTCCTGAGGTGTCCTTATCGTCACCCCTTTGGAGAGCGGGTGTCCCCTTAGTCAGCATGCCTCAGGGGGATCGGCAACAGGGCAGTTCAAAGAGGCGAGTGACAGGCAAAGCCCGCACAGACCCCAGGCCCGCCTGCCCGCCCTACACACCGGTCAGCTGCAGACAGCGGAGGGCAGGCCGCCTACCCACCCAGCATGGAGGGGGCCGAGGCGGGAGGAGGAAAGACAGGACCCAGGCTCTCCCGCCGCGGCCGGAAGGGCGCGCCACCACCTCCTCCGCCACCATCACCTCCACCACCGCCAGGCCCATGGCGAGCACGGGACACAGGAAACCGAGCTGGCAGCTGCCGACAGGAAAGCAAAGCTGAGCTCTGGAAAGCACAGAGAGGAGAGGAGACGACCGACAGCAAACAGCGAGTGGGCAGGGAGCTCCACACAGACGCGGCCACGAGGACGGTGGGGAGGACAGCACGCTGGACGGGACGGGGCTGCGCACGGCCAGCGTGGCGGGACTTACTCATCGCTTTACACACAGCCATACAATAATCCTCAGACTCAAAATTGTTCCTGTTGCCTCCGCAGCCGCCATATATAAAGCGCACGCACTTCCCCTTGGAGAGGTCGAAGTACCACCGAGGCATCACGGCCCGGCAGGGCCCCGTCAGTGCCTCCTGGGAGCAGACAGCTGTGTGGAAATGGTCAGAACGTCAGCGGGGCAGAGGCAGCAGCTCCCACGGCTCAGAGCTGCAGACCGGCAAGGGGAGGGACGGGGACGAGCAGGCGACACCGGACAGCGAAGGCCGAGACTGGCAGGACCGGGGTGCCTCGGTTAACGCAGGCGCCACTCAAGCCAGTCACTGTGAGGATGTGCTCGCCCTCCTCTCTGACGCGGTGCAGACCCTCAGCACCTGCCGCTGTGCGCGCTGCCTGGGGTCTAGAGCAGGGCCCGGGCTGACGTGGAGGAACCCCACCCCTCAACAGCGCTGTGAGCCCCACTCTTCTCATCTGTCAAGTGGGCGTGTTTGCTCGATTAGCCTGTCTTGGGGTGCCACGGGCAGAAAGAGACCCTGCGGGCACAGAGGCTGTTGCAGTGGTGAGAACCGCGGGAAACACCTGCAAAGGCCGCGTGTGTGTTTTGTGTTCTCCAAGGTGAAATCACAAACTTCGAGACTCATTACGTAACTTTCTCCTGGTTGAATCATAAATAATTCTTCAGATCTTAACTGGCTTCAAACACATAATCAGCAGGAGGCTGCACCTAAGCGGTCTAGGACTGTCTCAACTTTCTCCCCATGTGGCAAGATGAAAAACACTGCTGACCCAGACCCCCTACCAGCAGGTCATCAAACTCCACCCTCCCAGCTACAAGCCTCTTTCTGATGGACACGCAGGGCAGCCTACCGACTGGAACACGTTCAGGAAGAGAACCACGGAGGTGCTGTCCACTCTGGGAGGCGGGCGATTCAGCACTGCCGCTGAGAGAACATTTCAGGCCGAGTGTGGAGGGCTCCTGCCCGAGAGCAGGCCACACTGTCTCTCAGCCTCCAGTTACGTCCCCACCAGGCAGTTCTGACTCATTTCAGCTCTCCCTGGACAGGTCAACCATTGGGCCCTGCAAGCCCCCAGAGCTGACCTCGCCTTCAGGGCACAGGAGTCGCCCATCCTGTGACTTACCCGTGAGGAAAGCAGTCTCTAAGTAAATTAAAGAACACTAATAAAAATTCTAGTAAATAACTACACATGGATGTTCAGGCCACGGCCCTAGGCGGGCTCATTACCTTTGATGTCGTGAGCAATCTCCTTCTCTGAGACGGTCCGGTCGCTGCCGGGCTCGGTTGGGCCCTCCTCGGCATAGTCGTCCCCTTTAAAGGTGTCGTAGTAGTAGTCTCGGTCTTCCACCACCTCCTCTCCTTCCTCCTCATCCTCGTCCTCGTCCTCGTCCTCCTCATCCACGGCTGCCTCTGTGAAGTCTTCCAAGTCGGCTTCGGTGGGAAACTCACTACAGGTCACAATAAAACAGGGAGGTTCATCCCAACTGCCACGCACCGAGCAGCGCAACCACTCCTGCCCGGTTGTGAAGCAGAAACCCAGAGGCAGGGAGCAAGCTCTGCTCACGGCCAACAGGGCCGCGAGGGCCCTCAGCCCGGCTAGTGCAGTAATGGGGGGCGTCAGGGGGCAGGGCTGCACTGACCCGCGGGGAAGAGGGCGCCCAGGACGACAGACAGACCGAGGCCCCGGCTCGCCTGCCCTCAGCCTCGGCCCAGCTCTGGCAGGACCAGGGGAGACAGACCCGCTTCACCAGAGCCAGGGCCCAGCAGCCAGAGCCATGGGCAGGCTCAGGGCGTCTTACCTTTTATAGATGTCGTAGTCTTCCTCATCCTCCTCCTCGTCATCGTCGTCCTCCTCCTCCTCCTTTGACACGGCGGTCTCCATCACCTTAGTCTGAGGGCAGCACACATACTCGGTGCCATGGAACTGGTCCACCCCACAGGGCAGCAGCATGCCGTAGCTGTACAAGGTCAGCCCCTGAGTCAGACAGGCCTGGGGACCCACAGACCAACGTCAGAACACAGCCCACAGCGGCTGTCCAGCCCCCCGGCCCCAGCTTCATCCGAAAGAAACTCAATCAGATCACAACGCGAGGCTTTCTCTCGAGGACACATATTCAATGTCAAAAAGTTGTGATGCTGCTGTTTGAAGATCTACAAATTTTGCTTAACTTGCGACGGGGAAACACCGTCTGGGCCAAAAGAACAACAGCCCGAAGGTGGAATGAGTGAGGGAAAAGGGAGTTTCCTCTTAGCAATTACCAACGCCGGTCAAGCGTGGTCCGTGGTAACGTACGTTCCTGGTCGGTGAGGAGCCCAGAATTACACCAAAGAAAGGCAACTGACTGGAAAACCAACCTAACTCAGAGGACAAGCGTAAGAAAGGGCAGTTCCCCCCACAGGAAGAATGAAATGGCATCTAATCCTGTCAGCAGACACGTCCAGACACGGACTTTCTGTAACCATCTCCACGCCGGCCTCAGGGTCCGGGGTGGCCTCCGTGGGGGCCCTGCCGACAGCGCCCCCACTTAGCCCTCTCAACGCCCCTGCCTTCGGGGCTGGACTGTCAGCACTGCACTCCCTCCAGAAAGTCTGCTCTGCTCCCAAGTGTGTTTCACTTGGGAGATGCAGGTAGCTGTAAACGTTGAAGAGTTACAGGGAAAAGAAAGAAAACTGATTTGAAATCAAGGTAAGGTTTGGAGGAAAACTCTGTTTTCTCTTCCAACACAAAAGCCAGCACCCGACTTGCCCCGCCCCCCTTTACCTCTTTGACCACCGTGTGCCAGTGCTGGTGGTTCTCACACACTTCCATCCGCTCCTTGTGGAAAAACTGGCACTTTTCTGGAACCAGCAGAACATCACTTACAAATTCACCCACTGGAAAAGAGAAGCTGTGTCAGAAGCAAGTCTGACCGTGACTCAAGGTGAAGACGCCCCTCGCTGCAGCCCGCCGTGACAGGCACGCGGCCACGTGCAGACGGGGCGGCCTCCAGGCAACACGCGCTGCGCCGCTCATCTGCAGACGCCGTGAGCACGGCCGTCCCAGCCACGACGCCCGGGCCTCCTCGCTCCCTCACGTCCGTGCAGGGCCTTGGCGCCCTGGCAGAGAAACGGGACGAGGAACCCCCCCACCGTGACCTCACACACATGCACAGCTGCTCCCTACCACCTCTGACTTCACATCAACACCGTTCCTGGCCTCTCACTTCCCTGTCTCTGCCCACGTCGGTTCTAATAACAAAACGCCCAGGAAATGAAGATGGGTGTTCCCCTAAAGGACAGTGACTCTTACCTAGGCCTCGGTGGACCCAGAGACACCCAGCTCCAAGACAAACCACACTGTAGTAACTGATGCAGGTACAAGCCACCAGTGGAGGGTTAATTACAAGGGGGGACAGGTGTCCTCGTAGTGGGACAGTCTGGCAGATGCTACCTCAACCAGGTGACCACTAAGGGACAGCTGACATAAGTGACATTCTAAGGACATGTCACCAACATGGTCTTCCTGCCAAACCATGTCATCTGAATCTAATCTGATAAAACAACATGACAATTTTAAGGGGGAGGGTATAGAGTGGTAGAGTGCATGTGTGGCCTGCACGAGGTCCTGGGTTCAATCCCCAGCACCTCTGTAAACAAACAAACCAAATACTTCCCCTCTCAAAACAAATTTTTAATTAAAAAACTATGACAATTTCAAACTCAGAGATGCTGTGTTAAACAGACAGCCTAGACTCTGAAAAAATATCACTGTCATAAAAGACTGGAAAGGAAAAAACGGAGGAACTGTCTAGGTTAGATACAACGTGTGATCCTTTTTAAAAAGAAGCTGTAAAGCACGATAGTTGGACGCTGAGGAAAATCGTCCCCAGCAGTCACACAGGAGAATGCGCTTGCGCTGAAGGAAAGCAAGCTGAAAAATATTTAGGGTAAACTATCATGACATCCCAACTTACTTTCAACAACAACAACAGTGACAACGAGAAAGTGCATAAGACACACACACAGTGTGAGATGAGGCAGAACCGGGAAATCCAGGTGATGGGTCTAGAGGGTCCACTGCTGCTTTTTTTTTTAAACAGGTCTGAAAGTTTTCAAAACTAAAAAGCTAGGGGAAAAATACACAGAGTTGCTTAGAAAATAGAACCCTTCTTTCCTAGAAACATATGCTGAAGTAGTTACAGGGGAAAAAACTGGTAGCTATGATTTGTTCCCAAATAATCAGGGGTGGTTGGGAGCCGGCTGTAGACGAGGTAAGCGCGACCACGAACGGATGGGTGCTATGCAGCCGGGGAACGGGCCCACCAGGGTTAATGTCATTTTCTCTGTGTCTGGATATGTTTGTAACTCCGACAATAAAAAGCTACCAACATGGTCGCTGGGTGATCATCCAGAGACTCGGATTCAGTAGGTCTGAGGTGGGACTCAGTGATTTGCTCTGAACAAACATCGCGGGTGAGTCTGATGCACCGTCCACGTGCCCCACACAGGGCTGGGGAGCAGGACTGTGTGCTGAGCTCAAGAGAGACCAATAAGTAGGGGGGGAAAGAAGCAGAGGAAGGTGTAATCAGAAAGCAATCTGGCCAGAGAGAGGCCAGAGGGCCTGGACAAGGGGGAAGTGCCCGTGGACCCGCTCCCAGCTGCAGCCAGTCTCTGGGCTGGAGCAGTCAGTCCTGGGGGGTGTGCAGCAGGCGGGGCGGGGGCGAGCTCCTGCCGCCACAAGCAGACACCCACATCAAAACAGCCTTCCACAGGGGGTGAGGTTTCACACCGCCATTAGCACAGGGACTTCGGGCCAAACTGCTCAATCTGACACTAACGCAGGAACCCCAAGGTGAGTCAGACACGGCGCTGCTCGCAAGGGCCCCAAGGGCTCTTGGAGGTAGAGACAAACGTCACCATCAACCAGGCTTACAATCAACGCTCAAGAAGCAAAGCCCAGGGTAAGCGAGGATTCGCCTCCAGCAGGAGAGGCACCCCTGACCTTCAATCTGCGTGGAAGTCACTTAAACTCTGACACCCAGCCACGAGCTCGCAGTTTACTGTGACTGCTCTGTGTCAGCTAGGCACTATTTACACCTGTTAATTTATGATAAAAAGCAACAACAGAGTATACGCAAGAGGCAGAGCGTACAGGGCTCAACGCCAGGGCTTCATCTCAGCACCGTCACTACTAGCAGAGCGCTCTTAGGCAAGCTACTTAACCTTCTGTGCCTCAGTTTCCCTACCTTGCTGCTGCTGCGAGGCTGAATGATGTAATGTGGACAGCACGAGAAAAGCCTGGAGCAGAACCCGGTACACCGTAAGCACTGAGCACAATAAAAGTGTCAGCCCGGACTACTGATGTTAACGCTGTGCTGGTCCTGAGGAACGAGTTTTATACACGCTGCACAACCACAGTTACCAAAAGCGATCTGTACTTAGGCAACAGTTAATACGCTCTAGTTTGTAAAACCTCAGTTTTACATGCCCAGTTGCAACAACAGAGGAAAAGTTCAGACAGCAACTTCATGACTACATATACATTCTACAGAAACAACCACCAAACTGGGTTTTCAAAATACAGCGGAATACTACGAAGCAGGGTAAAAACGAGTTAATTAAATCTATGCATGTGACACGCCTTAGACAAACCCCAAAACGATGTAAAGTAAAAAGCAAGTTGTAAAAGCTCAAGTTCAGTATGATACCATGAATTCAGGTTTTAAAACAAAAAAAATTGTTTATAGATACACTTGCATGTAGCAAAAGCCTAAAATCTGCTTGAAAATGATACCTCCCGAGGGAGAGAAGGAAGGAAGGGATGTGAGGATGGGGCTTTGGGACATCTAATCCCTTTACTAAAAACAGAGCAAATGTGACAAAACGGAAGAACTGACATCAGGACAGTGAGTACATGAGTGACCATCGCATTACGTTTTCTCTTTTCAGTATGCTTGAGATATTTCAAAACAAAAATGTTTAAAATAAAGAAACTTCCAGGCCAGAAATGTAATAACTAACTCCACATAACCGTAAGACTAAACGCCACCAACCGTCAGCTATTCCATGCCTGAACTGATCTGTCTGACCTCTGAAAACCAAAAGAGAATTCACACCATCGACTGAAAATAAACTAAAAAATATAAATGAAAAGAACCTAACTGTGCTCTTTGATTCAACAATTCCAATTCAAAAAATATTTTTAGGAAGTAATTAAGAAAGTCAACAAGGATACTCATTACAGAGTTGCTAATATCAAAATCAAACAAACAAACAAAAAACAACCAATCTAAATGTTCACCAATAGGGAATTAGTTAAATAATGGTAGCTATATATAATTAAATACTATGTGGGGTTGTAAGAAATACAGCTTATGTCTGTATATAACATGGAAAAAGTTCCATGATGGTTTAATACTTTTAAAAATTATTAAGCAAATAAACTGGAAATGATCGCTTTTGCTTCACCTCTCCCCAGCTTCTTTTATTAAAAAATGAACTCTTTTTTAACATGTAAATTAAAAGAGGAACACATTTCAATCCCAGCATCAGTGCAGTCATTCTCCTGTGACTTTTTGCCTTGGATACAAGGACTTAACAGAAGCTTCTAGGAAAAAACTGACCTACGCAGATCAGTCTCACTCTGTTTTACAGAAGATGATTGGGTCTCACTTTAAAAGTTTATCCAAGTTTGTAACAATCCTCCATGTAACCTGCTGGAGTACAATGGACAGTGTCCACAATTTCCAAAGTCACTGGGCAAATAGGAACCTATATTGTTTTGCTGGTCAATCAATATGCAAATTTAGCAAAATTTAGCCTGGAGGATTTCATTTAATCTGCATTCACGATTTATCTCCAATCTCTACTCACTCCCTGGGATTCTGTTTTTCTTTCATGCCACCTCCCCCAACCAGAGCCGTGGCAGCCATCAGGTCTCAGAGCCTTTTCAGAGTTGCTAAAATTCCTTTCAAAGCAACAATGACTGTTCACATATTTGGGGAAGTCCCCAACAATAACACACATGTGTATAAATAAACCCACTGCAAAGGGACTCTGCGGCTGCAAACAGGACAACCATGCCATTTTTGGGGCCACTGGAAGTTAAAACCAGCTGGGAAAAAGCCTTCTGTAATGAGAATAAACCAAGAAAATCAACCTGACCTCCCAGTGCACGTGAGGTCTGGGAGCCATCCCTAGCAGGTGTCTTGGTGGTAAACATCTGAGCAGTTAGAGCTGGAACAACGCTCAGGAGCAGGAACATACGGCTTGTACAGGGTCCACACTGGGACAGGGTGAACTGCTGATGGTCTGGCCAGAGCGCAAAGGTAGGCCACTTGCAGACGGACACCTGCAGTGGACAAGTCGGAACCAAGCTCACTCCAGGCCCCACCTCAAAGCCCTGAGAACAAGGCCCTTCTTGGGAGTCTTCACATCACAGCAGCATTCCCCATCCAGATCTCCTTCCAGAAATAACCGAAAACAAAAACAGACTCACAAAGCGCCCTTCTTCTGGTGCAGGAGCCAGTCTATATATAAACGTCAGAGATGACTAACTCCTTCCCCGAAAACGCCAGCAGCTCTGCTTCCTCACCAACTCTGTCCCACTTAGACCATCCTATCTATCTATCTATCTATCTATCTAGAGAAAACCTTATGGATAAACAGGTAATCAGTAATAACTTTCATTCTGAGGAGAGGGAAGGTTGAAGTGTAACTTCTCATCCCAAGATACTAAGTCGCAGTGCAGAGGGTCACGCTGGCGGGCAGCCAGCACACTCTCAGAAGAGGGCAGAACTCAGGGCCCTCTGTGCAAAGAAGGTATTGAATGGTTTACAGTCAGACTGTCACTTATGCATTTAGTTAATGACGATATTTCATCGTCTGGCTCTCTCGCACTGAAAAGTTCTAACTCTGGAATTTGGAAAATAACACTTTCGTTGTATACCAACCACAGCTGTGGTCCTGTCCTGTAATGAGCAGAGCATCCTAGTTCCAGGTCATCAGGACTGAGGGGACAACGAAGACCACAGCTGGTCCCCCCCTGAGGTGCTCGCCGTGGAGCTGGAGAAACAGACCTTCGTGCAGTGAGAGAGGAACGCTGGCAGCAACAAAGAGGGGCTGAGAAACCTGGATCCTCAGACAGAAAACAAGACCGGGAGGAAAGGCTTCCTTTAGAGGAGGCCACAAACTTAGTAAAAACCCTAGTGCCTGACACCTCTGCGCTTGCTGGGCACCGCACAGCCCCTGAGCTGCGACTGACAGCACTGTCACCTCTGTTTCTTCCGCGGTGATCCGCTGTGATGCTGGCTTTCATCACAGGAACCACTAAGAAACAGCTCCACAAAGACATGAGGTCATCGAAAAGGAGTGAGACGGGCTGATGCTGGGACGGTGAACGCCTCCAGCTGGTAGTTCAACCATGGATCTAAGTCATGCTTAGGAGGTGAGAATCAGGCTGGCCTGAAAACCGACGGGTGTGGGGAGATAAAGGTCTCCCAGACCTCAAGCAGGTGGTGGAGCCAGCAAGTGACAAAGCAGACAGGAGGCGGAGACCAGGCCTTCAGGGACAACGATATAAAAGGAAGAAAGGATTGCTGGTACTACCTAGCTGATGCCTACAAATATTCACAAATGCTCTCTTGCTTCACCCAGTTTGAGAATTTTACAGAGAATGCAGGAAACCTCATACCTGGAGGCATAGCCAAATGGAAAAAAGAGCATCTTTAAAGCACATCACACAAAACTGCACAATCCTCACGCTCCTTCCTCACTGCATCATGCTCAGTTTTCAGTAAATGGTGTCAAGCCAACAGTGGTGCCCCCCTCCCACCCCTGCCGAATACTTTCTAAACAAAGTAATTGCTACCGATTTTAAACACTGTTATTCGGGTGCTGACGCTTTCTGTAACTTTGCTACATGTGAGAATGGGAAAAATAACATGTTCCATTTTAGGAAAGGTTTTAATGGAGGGAGGGAAGGGAACAGATTACATTAATGGCTAAAATTAAAGACACTTACAGAACTCCCCGGGCTGACCACGCTAATGCTCCGTCCATGCTAATCCTATCACATGATCATCTAAAATGGATTGTTTCGTCCTTTTAAGCTTCTAGGACCAAACCTGTTCCTGAATCGCCCAGGCTGCAGACGTGTGAGTGTCATTCAGACGCGTCCGTGATGACTGGTTAGGATGCACAAGCGTTTAAAGCAGCAACTCTACCTCTCGGTAATAAAATGTTAGTTTTACTCAAGTTAGCCCTGACTGTTAACAGCAACTACACTGAGTCATCAACACCCGTATGGGCCCTGAGCCTTCAGAAAGGCAGGCGGCACAGGGCCCAGGCGAGGCATCCCTGATTGTCTCCAGGCAGCAAAGAGTCACTTCTTCTGTGCCTGAAAACTACCTAACAGGTAGCTTGGTCTGGCTAACAATACGAGACTTCAGACACGGGTGAAGTAAGGGGAACCGCAGACCACCCCTAGGCTGCCTTGGGACCACTCCTCCCGGGACCGTGAACAGGAATTTCAGCTCTCAGCAGGAGCAAAGCTGGCCTGCTCTGAGGGCAGCGCTCTGATTACTCAGTGCCATGGAAAAGGCTCATCCTTGGAAGAGAGTGGATGCCCCCAACAGGAGGCAGTCACTGACCATCAAAGACAAGGCAACAGTCGGCTAGACTAGAAAGCAGTAAATATTCAAGCGAGGAAGTCCCCCAGCAAATTCCTGCAGCCCTTGGCTTCTTTACAGACTAAGATACTTCACTGTGAGCCGAGAGGAAATGAAACTGAAAGCTGGGGACCCCTGATCCTGAGACGTAACCTAGGATCGCCGAAGGTGGCTCACCCAGACACTTGAAAGGGATCACAATGTGACTCTGGCACTGCTTCTTATCCCTCCGGCACCAGTTGTCAACACTGACCGGCTGGTTCGCTTCCATCACATTCGTGATCTGTAGCTCTGGATACATCTGCCAGGGACAAGGAAACACACATAGTGAACCGGCTTCGTCCACAGTAGGTGATGTTCACTCATGGAGACGGATGTGCGCATGCGCACTCAGCTCCCGTGCTCCCCTACGAATCTGACGCTGCACTCCGCGGCCCGCTTCCAACGGAACGCGTCCAGTAAAAAGCTTGCTTTTGACAGGCAGATTTCAGACCAGTTCTCACCCATTCTCTTCTAAAAAGGACACACAAAAACAGCAGGCTTTCAGCCCCAAACAAGTCTGTTAGGTATCCACCCCACTTGCGGGAAGGGGTCAGGGGAACAGCTGAGGTCACAAACTCACACATTTAAGAGGCAGGTCTACGGAAGTGCCTGTTAATGAAATTATAGGGTAATAGTTCAACCCTGGCCCCGTAGGCTAGTTTCTCACATCCTTCTCTACGTCCAGCGTTGACCCCAAAGATGAGTTGAATCAGATCTGAGATAATCGCTTATGATACTGATGGCTTCTACCAACAAGAGCAAGACCCCGGCACACACGTGACCCTGGGCTTGCTCCCCACCTTCCCGCGACACGTGGGAAGCCATGAGAACCAGGCTGCACCTCCACGCCCTTGCCAGGCTTCTGGAGGAGTCCTTCTGGAAAGGACTGACTTCACAGCACTTCCAGGCCAAGCAGACACGCAGAAACAAAGCTGGGTGCCCCCGTCTTCACTGACTCAGTCTCAGGACAACACAGAAGAATGACAGAATATCTGTTTCTAAGGTAAACAGGTTCACACATGACCCAGAAAAAAGAAAAAAAGCATTTTTAATTTCCGGGCAGCACGCTTACCTCCTGGCAGTACTGGAGAACTTCTTCTTTTGTTCCGAAGCAGCTCTTCGTGCCGGTTGGGTCAGGTTCCCATCTCCCAGTCTGAATGTTCACGTGCATATTTAACTTCCCACAGAACATTGCGACCTGAGGCTCGGCGACAGCAAATCCTGTCCCAGCGTTGGCTGCAAGAGCCTGAGGAGAAAACCACGTTCCAGGGTCACTTCCAAAAGGCTGGCACACAGGCAGTCACCCAGCGGTTTGTGACAGTAGAGCTGATCTTTTCAAAATCTAAATTCTTTACTTCATAAACAAGTCCTTTTCCCAGGAGCTAATGCAGAATTAAAAATGACCTTTGGACACATATGATCAAAGAGAGAGAGGGGGGTGGGAAACCAAATCCCCACTCCCCCCCAATGACACTTCTGACTTGGGAGCAGACAATCAACTGCGGTCCTAACACAGCACATCCACCTCCCGCTCCTCAATGCACCAAACCACGAGCACAGAACGCGCTGAAGTTCCAGCAACTTGACTCAATTTACTTGCACAACAGAACGTAACTGAGCAGCTACTATTTTGCACAGCAAAGTGCTAAACGCTCAGGACACAAGCCCTCAGGGGGCTTACGGTCCAGACCGAGAGTCAATGCTCACACAAGAGTGTGATCCCATCCCCAGACGTCCTCAGGAGGACACAGAGCTCAAGGACATCAGAGGGGAACGTGGCGCAGGCTTGGGTGGTGCTGATCGGGAAGCTTGGTGAAGAGTGACCCTGGAGCAGCTCTGAGCACCCCGCGCGGGAAGAATGCAGACTGAGTCTGTGGAGGGTTAAGAGAAGGTGGGAGGCACGGGGGTTGAGACTGGACGGTCTGCAGACCGAGAAAGGATGGACCACCGAGGGCCCTATGCACAGAACTAGTATTTTCCAAGTGCAGCTCCGACACTCCCTCTGGTCGCCGGCGAGGGGCCGGGGAGCTGGAGTCGCCAAGCCCAAGAGAGAGGTAACAGAAGCTTGGGCGAAGGCAGCGTGGGGAGACGGCAAAGCAGGTGAGACCCAGTGACAATGGCTGGGGGGTGACCAAGAGGGAGACAGCAAGTCTGGCTTGTATGACCTGGCGTCATGCGTGGAATGAGGACACTAAAAGGGATTCCACAAACAACTGTCTCTCGTGTTAGGAAAAAAATCAACTGTTCGTAGCCATTACCAGGTCACAAATTACAGGTGGGAAATAACATCTCAGTGTTACGACAGTAAGGCTCCCGCAAAGTCTCACGCACTAGAAAAACCACAGGCATCCCTGGATCTAGAAATAAACCAACGCTGATGCTTACATCCACAATAGAGTTTTGTGGTGTCTCCTAAAGTCAAAGGCTTTCCAAACAAAAATTAAACATCTTGTGAAAACGTTAAAACTTGAGAGGTCAGGTCAGATTATACGGTCTATTACGAGCTTTTGAAATAAAAAGAGCAAACAGCAGTAATACAGAATGGTTTTCCTGTTAGCAAGAAAAAGCACATTTGACTTTTAAAATAAGTGGAAAACCGTGTGCTTTTCAGGGGGGTCCCATTTATCTGTGCTGACGGGCTGACCACACAGCCACGAGCGGTCCTTCCAACCAGGAGCCTACGTCTGACTCTGATATACATGCTGCTCTTTTTCCAGGACAAATCCACCAACCCACACGTTTTGCTCTGGAGATGAAAATTAGCCTGCTTTCCACCAGCATGAGAGAAGGAAGCATAAACACTTGCTGGAGAGCAGGGAGAACGATAATTTGGATCTAAAATGTTGCCAAGATCAATCAGGGTTGAAAAAAACCTCAATCAAGTGCAATGAGGAGAACAATTAGCAACTTTATTAACTACAATAGATTGTCCCCTTACCGTGACAAATCATCGTTTATTAAAGTAAAAGACAGATTCTGTGCTGTCAGTACAACTGCATATGAAGCTGCAGACGGCTGTGAAGTTCTGTCTTCCCCCAAGAAAGGAAGCCCTTAGAGACATGTGTGGAAAGGAACTTAAGGGCGGGTAGTGTGCTAATGGCGTTTAATTCAAACAGATCGTTAAAGGTCTAAGCACGCACAAGACAGACACATTCAATTCTCACACTGAGCTCGAGATGTGCGTGAAAATGCCTCTTATATGGACGGTTCCTCTCTGGGAGCCGGATCTAAGGACTGGGGCTAGAAACGTGGGTTATGATACGGAGGGAGACGGGCCCACAGGACATACACGGGTCCACACAGAGCCTAAGGCAAGGAAACCCCAGGAACACTGCGTTCTTGGCAAATTCTCTCCTTCCTCCTCCAAAAAGCTCAAGCAGAAATGAACCAAGAAAATCCAGGAAGATGAGAGAAATATGTAAGCAAGAACTTCCCAATCGACGGGTCAGGAGGAAAGTACTTCTTAAAGCCGCCGTAAATGAAGCGCCACAGTGCAGCGGGCAGGGCGCTGGACAACCTTCCCTCAGTCCTCTCTCTGGGCTTGTACGTTTCAGCGTTAAACAAGCAGGATTTCAGGGGTGGCACCTCATCTTTCAGGAGCACGGGGTGCGGGAGGGAGGCAGCTGCCTCTTCAATGAATACAGGTGAGAAACAGTGCCAGCCGGTTACCTGAGCCCCCTGCCCCCGGGCCACAGCCGTGGCGTGGCGCAGCCGCGCAGGCAGCCCTCGGTCACACGGAAGAGGGTGGCCCACGTGCGGCTGGCTACGCCCGCCAGCTGAAGGACCACGAGGGTGCCCGCTGCACGGGTCAGCCGCTGAGGGCAACTCGCCAGTGGTGAGCGCGTTTGACCTTCGTGCCGAGATGGTCAGCAGCACTTTCCCTGAAGAGGACGGAAGACACCCGAGGTTCAAGCAGCAGGAAGAGGCGGCGCCAAAGCCGCAGCGCCTCACGCTGGTTTCCACCGGAGAGGGAGAAGGGAGTAACTGGAATGGGTCCAGACAGCTAACAGGCTGCAGTGATTCACTTTCGAGTTCAGAAAGATTAATCCTTGTGGTCATCAGAGGCTCTCAAGAAGGTATCATCTTAAGTATAAAAAGCCTCTGTGGACCATGCTGGGAACTAACTACCCAACCCCCCGCCCTGTACCTGGAGCAGAACAGGACCGGCTTTTTCTCTAACGTTTGTACTTCTTTCCTTGGAAAACGCGCTCCCTGAACGTGCTCTCCATTTTCTCAAGTGCACACTGAGCCTTGATCCATTACATCAACGTATAAATCAATCTGTTTCCAAATCCAACGTGTTACAAATGGGGCTCCACTGCCAAGTCAGCACTTCTGACATCCTGTCAACCTGGACTCCCCTACGGAAGAAAATTAATGCCCCACGCCTGGGCGCAGAGGCCAGCCCGATCCGTCACGCGGCAGCACTCTGAGGGCTCTGAAGAAACTGCATCAATCGCTTTCCTAGCCCAGTGCTTCCACATTGCTTAATAATTCATTCTTAGTAAGAAATCTCATTCTATTAATTTGGCTCAGGGAAAAGTTTAGCTGTCCAAGGACAGAAATTCAACTTGGTAAAAAGTGCTTCTAGTAACTTGGTTGAAAACCTGAAACAGCTTAAAGCAATCAATAAGTATCAACAAACATAAATCTGGACCGAACTTCAATCGGGGCCTTTAATCATCACCTCAAGAGAAGCAGCTCCTGGGCCCACCTAAGCGCCCCTCCCTTCACAAGTCCACTCCCTCCGAAGCAAGCATAGAAGCGGTCACTTCCTTCCTCACTAAAGCTACTGCCCCAGAATCCAGGGTCTGTGAGAGCCTCTGCCACGCAGGGAGCACCTTCCAAGGAGGAGGTTTTACCCTGTTACTGAGGGAGGACGGGAAGGTGCTCCCTGCTCCAGCTGCCCTGGGAAGCAGGTCAGCACAGTTCTGGTTCTGTCAGAGGACTGAATGTTGTGTGTCTGCTCACCACCTGCAAGGCAGTGATATCCAGACAGACTCTTACTCAAAGACTCTCTTTTTTTAATGAAAAAGTCAGTAAAATGACAATCTATCATATGTCCACTCAGATTAGGGACAATCTAAGTCCATAAACCTGCATCTACGATTTACTTAACTGAACAAAATTTTAAAAATCCAGTTTCTACATATAAAAATAGATTTTAAAAAAGTTTCTACTGTATAGCACAGGGAACTATATTCAGTGTCTTGTGATAACCTTTAACGAAAAAATATGAAAACGAATACATGTATGTATATGCATGGGACACTGTGCTGTGCACCGGAAATTGACACACTGTAACTGACAGTACTTCAATTTTTAAAAAAATCCAGTTTCAAGGTGAGCTCCCTGATATATTAACTACAAAAGGGAGGACAAATTACTGCACAGTGGAGACACTGCTGTCAACCTCACCCGCAATGGTTTGTGTAAGAGGACGGACGAGGAAAGACTGGAGACTAAGGAGAAAAACGCAACGTGGGAGCCTCGACCGTATCCTGGAACAGGAAAAGGACATGAGTCGGGAAACCGGAGCAACGTGTGGGCAAGAGCTGTGAGTCAGCCACGGTGCTGAACCAAGGCCAGCCTCCAGTCCTGGGGACTGTGCCGTGGGCATGTCAGCCGTTGACAGTGAGAGAAGAGCAGTAAGGGGGTAGGGGGACACTCGAGTATTTTTGCAACTTTTAAAAAACTCTAAAATTAGTTAAAAATAAAACGGCTTTGATTTTTTAAGTGATGTTCATGACTTGCTTGAGTATCAGCTGTGACTACAGTTTCACAATCTGTCAAAAAGAGAAGACACACACTCTCAGGTAGGGCAGCGAGTAAGTGTAATCAGAGCAGGCCCATTACCTGAAAAACATGCTATTTATTCTGAACACATCCTAATCTAGCCAAACCCCACATGCACATACATTAAATCTGATTTCTCTCCAATGCCAGGACTGTTACAATACTGTCCAGAGACTAATGAATGAGAAATTTCGTCCACTTCTGTTACTGTCCAAAGGGTGACTGCAGTTTGAGTCGTTAGTGTATCTTCATCAGCAGTAGAGTGAGGCTCTCAACTTAAAAAAAGCTCCACGCTTCAAACAATTCAACCCAGTACTTAATAAGACTGCAGGATTCTTAAGCCTTTTCCAGTTTTAGCAGCAAACTGAGAAACTTGATCTTACAAGTGACAGTTTACATTACACCAGCTGAAAATCCTTGGCCGTTTTCTATGTTCAAACGTAATTCTAGTAAGAAACTGGTGAATTAGGGTT